GTGAGAACCCAAAATCGTAGGAGGGATGTTAGAGGGCATATCCCTGTCCAGTCCAGTTAGCATCTGCACAGGGAGCTATAGTCCATGAATTTATCTAATCCCATTTTGAACTTGATGGTACTGTCTACTCCCACGCCTGCCTGTGGCACCAGTTTTTGGAAATTCATTATCCAAAAAATATATGTGTATACTATAGTATAAAAATATATACACTTATAATATAGAAAGCATATGGAAAAAGCATACTAAAAACTACCAGTAAGGAGCTTCTTTGAGTCGGCTACAAACAGCAACTGGTTATACATGAGCTACATTTGTGCAAGATACAGTAATGCACTACCTGCTCACAGGTGTATCAGCTAGAGCCCAGATTCACAAGCTTTACAGACTCACAGGACTTTACAACAGCTTCCCTTCCCTGCCCTTTTCTCTTTCCCCCACAGCATATCCAGTGCAGAAGCACCTGAGCTGTTGGTGTGACAGCTGCTGAGCAGGCAGGCTGTAACCTCAAGAATTCAGTTACCTGCTTTAAACAATGTTATCAACACCTCTGCAAAGCCTTCTGCTGTTGATGGACCAACAGATGATGGAGTTTTATGATACAGATACATGGAAAGATGTGACTTTTGTGGTTTTGCCTATATTTCTCTCAAATCCCAAGTATATTATTATCTCTGACATTTCAAACCTATACAACCTAATCCCCTCTCCCTATAGGCCCCTATTAGGAGACTGATCACCTCTATTTAGTGCTAAAATGATGGATATATTTATGACAGATTTGAATTGTTGATTACCACAGGACAGCCAGCACTGATGACAAACCGTATACCCAGGTCTAATGTAAGTGTAGTATAGATACAAACTCCCTTTCTTCCTGCACAACTTAGGTCAGAAGAAACTTGGAAAGCTCACAGGATAATAATGTTTGACTTTCATTTCTATTTGGCTCCCCTAGCTCAAGGATGGTCCTGCAGGTACACCAGCCTTACTCTTTCCATGCACGCCCAGCTCAGTGACAGCTGCCTCTTTCCCATACTTGTCCAGATTTTACAGCCTCTACTTTCAACTGCATGTTAAATTTCTGTTAAGAGAGGGAGAATCCTTTTACTAAAGCCTTTGGTAAGTTACACTTTCCTTATCACACAGCCACCAATGACATTTACAACAGCAATCTCCACAGCAACTTTGGAATGCAACCAAATAAATAAGAAATAAAACACAGAGGTTAAAGAATTTTTCCTGGCAAGGGACAAAGCGAATGTGAAGTGACTGGATAAGACTGAAAGTAACATCTAACTTATGTATTTCTTTTACCATAATATATTTTCTGAAGTCCTATAATGAACCAACCTAATTTTGTTTGTAACTTCTTTTCAGGAATGTGTCAGTAGAACAAAAATAACATTTACTTTGGTAGAACTAAAAGTCAGCAGAAGCTCTTCTTTTGTTCTCTGATCTTGAGTTTAAATGAACTACAGACAAATCTTGTGCATTACTGATGCATGATTTTAGGATTATTGTCATTACCGTGGCATGGAATGCAATAATAAACAAAAGGGAAAACGTTCCCAATCTATGTAGCCATCAACAGCCTACACAGAGTTTTATTTTCACTGCTTTTGAAACACGTTTATTTTAAACTTTTTCAAGATATTAGAAACAATTGTTTTTAGGCCACTAAAACTTTTTTTTTTTTTTTTTTTTTTTAAGACCACTCTATTTTCTTCACAGTTACTAAACCAAAACATCAAAACATCTTACAAAGAACAAACCACCTTAATTACATTACTTAGAGGAGACCTCACTGACTGAACCTTGGGGCAAACACGTTCCATCACAACCTAAGAAACCACAATGACCTTTGCAATGGAAGAGAAGTCTGTGGAAAGGTAAGTTCTAGAATTCCAGTGAGTTTCTGCATCACCAGAAGTGACAGGACCCACCTGTGAGCAGCTCCAGCCAGGGAAACCAGACCTTCTTTCGGCCTTCATCAGACTGAACAGCTAATTACTGCACCTAGAATATTTCTTTAGCAGTACAGTGGGCCTTCTTTAAGCATTATAATTCAGCATCAGGAATTTGCCATATTCTGTCCTTCTTAAGAAAGACTGCGTTAAAGGCGTGTCCCCATTGTCAGCCAGTCCATTAATTAAATGACCCATATTCAGAAATTAAAGCAGGAATTTACACACCCCTGTTTCAGACTACCAGCTGTCCCTGGCATTGTAGCCAGTACTGGCACACCCCAACACCAGAGGCTACATGTGTTTGGAGCAAAGTTCTGTACATTAACGAATTATTTTGGTCTTCCCCACACATGGATGATTTAATGAAGAAATTTTAGAGAAACAATTAACTGATTATCATCAGTACAAAAAACTAGTACATAACATTCAGTGAAAACAATTCTTCAGGAAAAATAAATATTCAGTTACACATTCTCAGCTTCATAAACTATTTTCCAACAAGCTTCGAGCTGACCACCTCAGGCAGATCAGAACACCAGGTAAATTAGCGACAAAAGGACATCATCAAGATGGTACATAGGACATCCTCTGTCCCAAAGAAAGATAGAATAGACCTAGATGTTTGCTGACAGATATCTCTGACTTGTTCTTACAAATGTCCAGAGGCAGAGACTTTACAATCACTCTAAAAAGTCTGAAAGAAAAAGTAAACATTAACCAAATAACCCCGACATACACAGTTCCACTACAACTCACTCTCGTGGCTACAGGACTGTTTTTCTAAATACACAAGGCTCTAGAAAATCTTGCTTGCTCTTTTGGTCACCAATTGAACTACAGCCTTTCAGAGATAATATATTTACAATTTTGCATATGGAATACGTTCACTCTACAGCCTTACTAAAATATTATTTATTACTAATAGTTATTAACTGAGAGATTACAATATGATAAACTGTTTATAAAAAAAAATAAATAAATCCAAACTTTCCAAACTGATAACCAAAAACTACCAGCAAGAAAAAAAAAAAGTAAAAAGTAAAATAATAATAATAAAAAAAAGTTTAAAAGTTTTCAAAGCAAGATTTGACAGAACTGGAAATAAATTCAAATACTGGTAAGTAGTTTCATAAACAACTCAGCTGTAGTGAAATGAAAATACTGTAAGTACAGTGGGCTCGATTAGACATGAGGAAAGAAATAAGAATAAAATATTTCACAACAACATTGTGGAGCAAGACTTGGATTAATGGTTATACCAATAAGCAACATAAATTGTGGAAAGACATTAAATAGCCTATACTTCATGGGACCACTTTATGCTTCTAAATAACCAAGAAGGAAACATGGATTTGTGAGAACCTCAGGATAATACTGTTTTCAGTCTAGGTTTAAAATTACAGAATCTCAGGTATGAATAAACCTGCACATAATGAACATACTACTACTCACCATTCTATAGTATGGGATATTCTGTTACTCTGAATAAAATTGTTAAGTATGAACAAACTGTACAAAAACATCAGTATGTATCTTCTGCTGAAAATGTATTACAGAGAGCAAGGAACACTGCTTAACTGCTAGGTTCAGCATAACTAGGATTGTATTCTCATTCCATGGTTTGACAGGTAAGAAGGTTTGCAAAAAAAATAAAAATAAAAATGTAGTTTGGTGAGTTTAATGTCATGGAGTTTTACACCGTCTTTGTCAATGTGAAGTCTCACATGAGGTAAGTTTCATAATAATCCTCAAAGTTTCAGTCCACCTTTGTTCACAGAAGATAAAGGCGTACCAAATCAGTAGATTACCACAACAGAGAGAATTTCAAGTAAATGTTTACGTTTTCATTTGAACTTTAAAAAAGGCTACTCTTTCTTTTTTTCTGCCTTTGAAACATACCGAACATTTTTATCTCCGGAACTCATTAAAAAATAAGATCATGTCCTCAGTAGAAGGGAAGGCAGAGAAGCCATGAGACACAAGATAACTTCTGTAATACAGGCATTTAGGTTTAGAAACATAATCCACTGAAAACCAAAGAAACTCTGATAAACCCATGATCCGACTCTGTGGGATACCAGCCATCACATTCCCACCACACAGCTGTGTGTGAGGTATCACTTCTCAGGAGAAAACTGAGGGATACAGGACTATTGGGATACTATAGGAGAGGGAATGGGAGAAAGGAGAAGCATAAAAAAGGAAAAATACTACCTCCAGCTGTTTTCTGTAGTATTGATCTTTTAGAAACCTCGGTATATACTTTCTTCTATGTGGCATTTAAAAGCTGTTTCACTGTGCCTGCTCTTTGCATTACTGTTTGCGATTTTGAAGTCAGTTCTGAGGTGGTATAAATAACTGGCTTCAGCTGAGCTGCTGACACCGGCTGAGGATCTCAAAATATACAAAATAAACACTTTTGTTCCTCAAATGTTTCTCACAGGTTTTGAAATCTAAAAATTTCACATTGCTTTATCCTGTACATTCATCTCACAGATGACTGACGAGCTAAGCAGCAGTCATAGCAGTCATAAAAACTTTGCTTTTCAAACCCAAACACAGAAGGGCAAAGACCAGAGTGAAAGCCAGAATTTGTTAATAGCCAAGTTCTTCCATTATAACATTTCCAAATATTTGTTTAGGGGTAATCTTTGCTAACAGGTAAATGCTATGCTGACTGAAAGGTGAAGCACAATTTTCTGGTTCATGCAGCAGGAGCAATCAAAATAAGCATGTTTTTCTTCTGTAATGCATTTTCATCAGGTGAAAAATTGTATGCTGAGTTCAGTTTTGCAGGTGGTGCTCACTGTACTTGCAAAGCACAGATAACCGCTCGACTACAGACATCAGAGGACAAACACTGAGGCACCTCAGACTCACGGCCAGAGGAAATAAACCAGAAAAAGCAGTACCCACAGGCACCAGACCCCTTCTGTGGGATGACATGCCAACAGCAGCATTCAGTCCTGGCCTTGAGATCCCTCCTCCTGTGGGTGGTGAAAGCGACCTCTCCCTCCCACACAGCCTTACCTCACACCCAAAATGGCGGCACGAGCCTGTAGGCTGCTCCTCCGTCCCAATGGGCCTCAGCACATCAGTGGTGGGCTGACAAATCCACGTGGCCACAATGGGTCTGGAAGAGAGAAAGGAGTGTGAAGTTTCTGTGTGAAATTTCTGTGGGATGCTGACTTCCCCAGCAGGTTTTAGACACATTTTAGAGAGAAGACAAAAGAGAGCAGCTTGCCCTGACAGAAGATGGTTGAGCCATGAGGAAAGAAGGGCCTTCCAGAACGGCCGTTCACTCACTACTCAGGCACTTAAACCACTGAAGTTCAGTGAAACTAAACTAAGCCTTAATTAAATATATTTTGAAGCAGTGAAGCCCTGTAAGCCATTCCCTGCTCCCTTAGGACAGTAGGCTGAGCGAAAAAACAGATAGGTCTCTCCACTTGAGGGGCCTTGTCTAGTTGCCTCATCTCAGGAGCCCACTGCTGACTCTAATATGAACCACATGGTGGTAAACCCCAATGGCCTGCAGCAGACAGGTAGACAAGCTCTGTCTACCAAAAAACATTTCGTTGTAAAGTTTTTAGCTTTTTCAGGTCTAACACAAACAGGAGAGGGACAATTGCTGAGCTGCAGAATGAGTACCCCCTTTGGGTACACATCAACTTTTGTATGAAAGCTGCTAGTGGCTTCCACAGCAATCCCAGCCATTGGGACTTAAGACATAGACTTTCTCACTGTAAAATATGTAAAACAAAACCAAGGATAAAGTTTAAAAAAAATGAATTGATCAGCAGTCACATCTCTTTTACTCCCCTCCTAGGAAAAGACAACATGTAAGAAATGGATACATGACTATCAGTAGTAGGAAATGATATTGTCGTCTTGCTTATGTTTTTCAGCCTATAACATGCTTCTGGAAATCCTATCTTAATATTTCCTGGAGAAGACAGTACAGTCCACTGCACTGATGATAGGATCATTCTGCTATCTGATTAAAGTGATATATAATAACAAAACTAATAACAATGCACCACACCAAAGTCATGTCCTGTGACTATATTGTCTAATTGGATAGACAGTTATATGTTAAGAAAGACAATGTTTCATACAGCTACAATCATTTATAATGTACTTAAAAGTCTATTTTCAGTAATAATGGTTACAGATGTATACAGGCTAGACTAAATTAATGGGCCAAATTACTGAGCTTGCTACAGCGATTGCATGCTGTAAGGGGAACCTAATTCAAAATCAGGTGGTCTAAAAGAGCTGCTGGAAGGTCAGTGACCTGCCCGTTCAAAATTTACTCTTACTGCTAGTATCAAAGCTACAAGCACATGTCCTGGGGATAACCTGGTGGTTGGCAAGTGGCACAAGTTCTGTTACACTCCATTTGCCATCAGGTCAGGTCCTTTGACAGTCCCTCCCCAAAAGCTTAGGTAGAAGAGGCGAGTAGCACCAGGCAGACTGGGTAGCAGCAGGGCAGACTCAGGTTGGAAACTTGCAGGTCCATAACTTTGTAAGGACAGCAACACACTGGAGGAACTCCATGCACTCTTTTAAATTAAATGAAAAGAAAAAAAAATCCCTGTATGTTACAGAGGTCATAAAAACATTTGAAAATAGTGTGAAAAGGGGAAAATATTAGCATACACCAATTTTAACCACACCACTAGTGTTAACCCAACTGTGATGTACTCTACTCGCATTAATCCCCTTCACTGGAAAACCTACTTTCAAAATATGCATGAGGAATGTCAAAATATATCACCAACAGGGACTGCACATCACAGTTTCTGCCATCAGCCCTCCTTTAAAAACAGGTTATTGGAACCCAAACACACTTTTGACATGACAAGAACTTTGTTGTACTCAGTAAATTCTTACATCAAGTTATTTAATTATGCACCTAGTTTAGTTCTATTTTTTTTGTTTTGGTTTGGTTTGGTTTTGGTTAAAGAGCTAGCATATAATGCACTCATCGGTGATACCTTGAGCTACCATGAAAATTGGTCCAGATCTCTTACTATAAAAATTCTTAAAGGAGACTCTTGGGATATTTCCCAAGAAGGGGCAAGTAACACTGTCTTTTACACCTAAGTGAACATCACAGACTTTCAGCCTTCAGCCTGACTGGGATTTTTACAGATGATGAAGAAACTGAACATCAACTTGACCAGCAAAGAGGGAAGCCAAAGGCTTAGGCCTGCAAAGGACTTCATTCTCCATCATTTCTCTCTTCTCTCCTTCTTCAATATGTCACCTTTGCTTCTTCTCCTCACCTAGAGAGTTTCCTCTCCATACTCCAGCTGAGCTCCACTCCAGCCAGGCCAACCCACCATGCTGGCTGCAGCTGCACTTGACCCAGAAACAGATCTCCCAAGCTGAGACTTAGCAATGAATAAGGATGCTCTGCAGAAGTCACAAGCTATTCAAAATCCACAGCCTCTTCTCAAGTCCCTAGATAAAAGTCATGATGGTGGAATGGTTGGATGATATCAAATATTTATATTGCAGCGTTAACACAAATTAAATGAAGAGTATCTGTAATCAGAATAAGGACTGTTGAACATATTCTCAGTTATACTCTGGTGATTAAACATTAAATTTAAAGCTTACACTGCTGGTATGGCCTGTATCATAGCTTCACAGTCTCAATGTTGAACACTAAAATACCATTTAAATGTTTTCTAAGGTTCACTGTCAAAGTATACTTAGAGTAAATATCCTGTTTGTAATCAAAAGGACTTTAGTCCCAAAACTCTTATTTCCATAACTACAGCATCCTCATTAGAAAACTCAAATTTTGTGAAGTACTCGCTCCACTGATATTTTATCAGTAAAATGTAATTAACAAAAAGCATGCATACAATGTGAATTTGAAATTGGAATGGCAAACTTATGTGCATGGCTAAGTATAACAGTTTTACCAAAACCTAATTCATGGACATTCAGAATCCAAACATAGGAATGAAACACTCACAATCAATTATACGTGACAATCATTTTAACATGAAAATGCAATAACAGTTTCATTAGAGCAATGCCATAGGTCCTGAATATTATGGCTGTATCTCTACTAGCAAGCAAAACAGGCCAGTGATTGTTTATGGGGCCTATAAGAAGGTGTTGGCACAACACTTTTTGCTTCATTCATCATGCCCTCATAAAGCATCCTATTGCTCAGTCATGCATATCTATAGAGATCCCAGCAGCACACTCACCCTGCTGAGCACAATGCACATCTTCCCATACGCAACAACAGCCCCTATGCATAAGAAGAACAAATGCTGAAGAGTGAATATGAGCACATTGCTCTCATGTACTTCTTTACACCAAAAAGACATAATAACCGAGATGGTTTCCTTCTGATATCCAAAGTTGTTTTTTGTTGTTTGTTTGTTTATTTTAGGTTTTGTTTTTAAATGATATGTCATAAGCTGTCTATTTCTAATACAGAAATTTGTTTGAAACAATGCTAAGCATGAAATACAACTACTGTATCTCAGACATCAGATAAAACCATACGTTAAATGTATCATGGCAAAGAAGATCAAAATGATTTGTCAAATAGAATTTGAACTTAAATCCGATCCATAATTATGTTTTATCTCATCAGTTTAAACGTAGGTCTTTTAAACCAGTGGCAAAACAAACATTGTGCACTGTTTTTCTTCCTGAAAGAAAAGTCACTTTAAAGCTGCTATATTGGATCATCACCAACAGCGTCGGTTTCTGTTTGCTTCGAAGGGGTCCAGCATGTGCATTTCTAATCAACAGCATAAAGCACTCCAATGGCATACAGAATTTGCAGTCCTAATGATAACCCTGTTTTCAAAGACTGTGAGTGCTTTCAGATAGGGATGGCCCTTATATGCCATGGCATCTGATCCAAAGTAACCTTGTGCTGGCTTACAGACTCACTGGCTTGAAGACAGCCTATTAAAACAAGACCTGAATTCTGTGCAAATGATGCATATCAAAGGCTCATTTCACATCCTAGGTTTTTAATATGAATTAAATCACATCTGCTTATTCTTAAAGATAGCATGATTGGGTCAAAAACATGTACTCAGCTCCTCTAGATTTCAGTCACTATCATTTCCACAACCAAGCAAAAGCCCAAGAAATGTTTATTCTCAGCATCTCTGATATCAAGCAAAAACACTCATGCAACCTGCTGGCAGAGTGCCTGTGTTGGATCCTTCTCTACTGATTGCTCCACGCAGTGACTACCAGCCTGATCATGCAGTTCACACACACAGCTCTGTGGAAACTGAAGTCTGGGGCCAACTCCACTGCTATCCACCTCCAACAATGTTGGTTTCCCCTGGTTTGCCAGAATTCCTCAAAATCTGAAAGTTCCTTTCCACAGATACAGGATCATCCTCTGAAATTTCTGGAATGTGTCAGATGCTGCGTTCACAAATGGTCACAATGAAATCAGTGCTAGCGAGCTGAGTATAAGTATATACCACACTAAGATTGCTCATTTTATTTTTTTTTTCTCTGCTATACTCATTCTCAAAGTAATAAAGCATTTTATTGAAGTATGAAGACTTAAGAGAGAAACTGGTTGGAAAAAAAATCACCATAACCATACTTGTAAATTATTTTTCTTCTCTGACTGAACTGAAAATTGTAGGAAGCAAAAAGCAGAGCGCTGAAAGTAGTTTTTATTTTCAGACTTCTTGGTTTGTGAATTCCAGGTGCTACTTCTCACGCAAGAAAATTAGATTCAAAAACAAAATTGATTTTTACCATGACAGTTTTTCTGAATTTAATGACATGCAAATCATTATGCATGTATTTACATTCTTGATTAGGACAAGATTGAGAAGTTAGAAAATAGAGCGATGATGCTCCTGTAGGTTTTAGCAAAGATTTTTCAGGTAGGCAAAAGACACGAATGACTAACATGCAAGAAATAAACAAAGCCCTCCCAAAAAGTATTAAAATGCTGAAGATGAGTAACTTGCCTCTAATGTCCTTATCAAAGAGTTCACACTATCTAGGGTGCCTACTTTCTTAATTAATGGAAAAATAGTTTGATGGGAACACCTACGTCACGCTGGGGCTCTGCGGGGCTCCTCTAGAAACTCGCAGTCCTGCCACACGGCGAATGCTCATCAGGCTCCCTAACACAATAGTCTGACCTCCGAAGCAATGTAATTGAAGTCTGACAATGAAATTTAAGAAAGAAACTTGATCGAGCCATTGGAGTCTCTTGCATAATTCAGTCTCTCTTCTTTGGACAGTCCTTCACTGATCTGTTGAAGGAGCACCACATCCCTGTCCCAGACACCCAACATACACACACCTCACCCAAGGCGCACGCTAATGGGCTGAAGCCACAGGACCACCCACCCCAGAAACATGCTGCAAGGAAGAGGAGGAGCATTTCTAAGAAGCAAACTCCTTGGGAAGTGCTGTGGCAGCTAGCCATGCGCAGACACCAGCAAAAAAAGAGCCTAGGGCATGTGGTCTGACTTCTTTGCTCTGCACATGGCACAGCTCAAGAGGAAGCAAGGGATGGAAGGGGCTGGCATGGGAGGGTGGGGGGCTATTTCTGAGTGGGGGAGCTAAGATGTAACCCTGAGCTTACAGCATCTGAGGAAGTTCTAAGCTGAAGGAAAACAGAAAATTTAAACAACCTCATCTGAGAGACTGAAATGCACAAGCACAAGAAAAAGGAAAGTTGAAATGGAAAATGGGAGGGTGGGGGTGGAGAGGGTGAAAGAATCAACCTGAAGAAATTCCTCCATTCCCTTGTGGTTTGCTCTTTCATTTGGTTTTTGGGGGATTAACATATCTGGCCTAACTGGAGTCCTTAGATTTTTAATACAGAAGATATGGGCAAAGTTAATGCCCTATGATATCCAGTAGGGCAGCTGGGACTTCAGCTCCTCGGAGCTATGAAATGTATGAGCCTGTTCAAAACTCAGAGGCTGAGGACCTGCTAGGTCCCTTCCCAAAGTGTGATGACTCTCATGGTGGTATCCAGCAATGGAGACAGGAATTTAACAGTGGGTACTCTGGTTCACCAGTTGTAGCTGCAACTTTTAAAGAGAACAGCCGCCCACAAAGTGTTGGTGCATACTTTAACCCATTTTGTTGCCACCTCCTAATACATCTGAGCTGGTGGATGTGAAAGAGCTCCCAGTTTCACACACAGGGGAGCTGGGGCATCGCTAAGCCCGAGGAGCACACTCTTGGCAGACCAGGCAGCGGTGATGCTGCTTTGTCTAGCAGCTCCCTGGGTGCAGCAGTGCTGTGTGCTGCTCCGCATTTGTTCCACGACGACAAGCAGGTTAAGGCCATGCTGTGCTGGGTGATACAAGACACGCTGTAAGAGGAACGTGAAGGTAGAAGGATGACTTTGCTTATTGATTCTTGTTCTTCCCAATCATGGGCAATTAGGCAATCACAAGTCTAATTCAGACAGATCCACGGGAAACCTGATCCACTCACCAACAGACAACAGGCTTTAAAATAACACTCCATACTGATAGAAGAGCAAAACAAACATCAGACCTTCAGTAAAACACCTAAAGACACAGCTATAGACCTTAAAAAGAAGCATGGAAGATTAAGAGGATTATCAACAATAATCAAAAGTATCTCTTCAAATGAAACCCAGAGATAAAAGCTATATGTCTAATTATATATGTATTCACAAGTGGGATGAGGTACTGTAAAAGCTGCGTTCAAGTCTCACACTGCTGAATTGCATTTTAGCCTCTTTGCCTCCTGACTTTGATAATTTTAACATGCTATTGTGTTTTCAATATAAGAGCCATGCGATTTCACAGCTAAGTCACAACCTTGATCCACAAATAGCTTTAAACAAAGATAGCGTTTGTTTTTGAGGGCTTTTTTTTTTTTTTTTTTTTTTTTTCTCCTCCCTGCCAGAGCTCCCTCGAACAAGGCAGGTTATTCTGAGAGGAGTTAAACAGAGCCAAGAGCGCAGCGAAGGCGAGGAGGAAGAGCCACAAAGGGAAGGAAGTAAAAACTTCCAGGAGAACACGTCCAGGGGTGCGCTGAGTGACCGGTGGGGAGGTTTTGCGCCTTCTCCCGCTGCGAGGAGCGAGGCCTGCGGCGTGGGTGCTAGGGGCGAGCTGTCCAGCAGCCCACCCCAGGCTGCGGGGGCTCCCCGCTGCTTTCGCTCCCCCGCTGCCCGTGCTCCAGGTCCTCCTCCCTGACGGAACCGGGCAAGCGGAGCGATGAAGGCAGCTCTGCAGCGACCGCGGGTTTGCCACCCGCTGCTCACCTGCTCCCCTCTGCCCTCCTCTCCCCTGCACCGCGCCCCGAGCATCCCGCCCCGGGGCTCCCCCACCGCCCCGGCGCCTCCCCGGCAGCAGCTGCCGAGCATCCCCCGGCCGGCAGGCAGAGATTCAACCCCAAAACTCCGCACGGGGCTACTCCGCCGCTCCCGAAGTGGGGCGGGGGTGCCCCCACTGCCACCTGCCCCCGTGCAAGCGGGCGCAGCCGGTGCCGGCGGGGAGGTCCGGCCGCCCCCCGTCCCCCGTCCCCCTTCCCCTTCTTTCCTTTCCCCCGGGGCCGTGCCTACCTGTGGCCGGGAGCGGGGCCGAAAGTTGCGAGGGGGCGGCGGGGCCCGGCCGCGCTCCCCTCACGCCTCGCTGCCGCCGCCGCCGCCGGCCGGGCTGGGCGGGGGGGGCCGGGCCGGGAGCCGCCCCCCCGCGGGCTGGCAGCGCCCGCCTCGCCGCCCGGCCCCCCTCACACCCACACGCACCCCCCGGTCCTCGCCGGGTGAGTCGCTTTTGGGGTTCCCGGCTCGCTGCCCCGTCGGTCCCGCCGCGCAGCAGCCGCTCCTCCGCCTCGGGCAGCGGAGGGAGGCTCCAGCATCCCGGCCTCCGCCTGCATCCCGGCCTCTGCCCTTCCTGGGCAGCCCCCAGCCGTCACCCACCTGCAGCCAGGGGCAGGCACAGCCCTCGGGGGGTCCCCACCGCGTGTCACGGCACGGGGTGGACCCCCTCGCTCCTGCCCGGGATTCCTGCCGAGCGCTTAAGCTGACCCGGAGGCACGAGAAGCACATGGACGCAAGTTGGGACCGGTGCTCCGTACGCCGTTCCTCTAAAAAGGCTGAGCCTCGCAACATTTTTATCACCCAGCCGGAACGACACCGGCTGTGGATCAGTGATGCCACTCAGGGCAAACATCAAGATGCTCCAGCCAAGGGTGTGGATGGTGGAGCACTTGAAGGAGTCCACCTTTAGGCACAACACACCAAACTTCAACAGTGATGACACTGTATTTTTTCCTATGTTAAAACATTTCAAAGTAAATAAAACAGAAAATATACATACAGAAAATATGCATAAGCAGCTTTAGCAGCTCACTTTTGGACTTTCTGAACTGCTTTGCACAGTCATAAAACTTTATGCCATGATAACTCTCAAACAGCTCTTTTTAAACATGTCCTTGAAAAGGAGAAAATTCTTTAATACACACAGAGCAACCATGTAACCTCATAAATATTAATGAACATTAAACTGTGTGCCATGAAAATCATTTTCATGCAAAAGGTCTTGCGCACGTAGGTGCAGTCACTGGCAAAGTTCACGCACAATTCTCTCTGCTGGTTGCAAGTCCTTGGTGGTACGTGTGGAGGTCTCGTCTTTAAGATGCCATGAAGCTGGGGATGCCCAGCTCTCAGAATGTAACATCATTAGAGGAAATTAAAAGCAAACAAAAACAACAGAGAAGCAAGCAAGCAAACAAAAAGAAGGCTATTTGACTTGGATGGGAATTTTCTACCTCTTCTAAACTGATCTACCCATCCCTACATTTTTCTCTTTAAATTTTAAAGCATCTGAACATTTGTTCTGTCAGTCGAGAAAAAAATGGACTGACTTAAACTCATCTTAGATCCCCAGGGGATATCATGGGAAAATAGGACAGCAGTGCTAAGATGAAAAACTCTATCTACTGCATCTTTTACAATTAAAAACTTACGAATAGTGAGAGAAAGAAAAAAAAAAAAAAGCGAGAACTGCTTTTATGCTGCAATTCAAAATTCAATATTGTATCCAAAAAAACAATGTACAAAAAGTGCAAATGAAAATTACTTACGTCAGTGGCAATAGCTGACAGTTGCTCTATATGAGGAGCATCATTCTGTAGCTTACTGACATGTAATTAATACATAGTATCTTTATCAAGTTTCAAATGAAAAGCCTTGAAGCATGATCAAATTTAACTCTGCTTCTTTGTCATGTTTGAGATGCAAGAGAAATTTAGGATCCTTCAAGTATTTCATAAATACTGATGGAGACAACGTGAAAGCACACACACACACACAAAATATATAGATATATATAACTCCCCCCCCCCTTTATTTTTCTAACTACAATGCCTAAAATTTTGCCTTCCTGAGTTAAGTCCTACCAAAGCTTAATCTATCATTATATGTTTTCTGTTTCTAGATTTTTAGGTTTCATGAGAAGAAAAAAAAAAAACAAACCACACCTATGATGACCTTAAGGAGCTTCAGCTGAGTACGGGCTAGGAAAACTGGGACAAAGAAGTTGCTCCCAACTGTAAATTCTTCCCTGAAAAAATGTGGTAAGTTGTGACAAGATTAGGAGTATTTTTTCTGTTACATTTACCCTTCCAAAAACATGAAAGTAAGTACAGCAAGAGCAAAACTCTGTAGGTAATAGAAATGACACAACTTTGCAGCTTCTGGGAGCTTTCTCACATTAATATGTTAAACTATTAATTTCATAAAACACTCTATAACCTTTAATGGTTGTCCATAAACTTGTGGAAGCCTGTAAACCTGCTGCAGCAGTCTGGGCTATTTAACTTCTGTTTCTGAGCCAGCAATAAGCATCACCTGACCATCACGGATGGGGTTCATTCACCTGAGAACCATCTGAGCCACATTCAGGGGCTGCCACCTGCAGTTGCTCATCTTTTTCCATTGATAATTGAAGCACAGAGAATTGTCTCAGGCAGGAGAGCAACTGTGTTGCAGGCTGATAGGCTTAGGTGGGATGAAACCCATGTTTCTTGATGACAATAAAGGAAGTTTCAAGGGCCTTTTAACCTCTCGTCATCTTAGACATACGCTGAAATAAGTAGTGACCTTCTGGTGTCAGTACATTTGACAATGCAAGTTCAGTTATCATTACACTTTCAAAATTTTTAAAACCCTGCTATCAAACAGAACCTGCATGTAGCTGAATTATAAAAATCAATATAATGCTGAAGCAATAAAGTGGCAGACTACACTCAGATATCTTGTATGGGAAGACAGAAGTGAAGTACTTCATTTTTAAAAAAACACGTATATCTTGGCGTTTTAGTAAACTTTCCAAAAAGATCAAATTGTATACATTTGCTAGGAATCTTATTTAGATTGTTTGCACATTTACTCATTTACTAAACTCCATAAAATTCACTTTCATGTCAAAATTAATGTTTTTAGATGCTTAAGACAAATATTTACTTACAGATATGCTCTCAATACCTCACTCCCTTAAATGATCCTACCGATAACATCCTCACCACCAAATTCCTGATCCTTTCCTATGCTCTTCAGTATTCTCAAGACTTCTAAGCTCTTTTGGGGTTTGACATATCTTCTTTACCCCATTTTTTGTCCTTTGCTTACAATACCTCTTCAACTTTCTCCTGTTCTGTTCAGAAATATTTTATCAGCTGCTCTTTATAAGCCAGTTTATTAAGTTTAAACCAATATAAGGTTAAATTAATGCAGATATTTTTTTCCCCTGCAACTGTGAATGGATTTCCCCAGCAGTTCATTACATCCTTCATGAATAATAAAAGTCATTAAAGGCACCAGTTAGACACAGATCTGGAAGAAGTGTAAAACACATACATATGTCCTGAGGTAAGATTATTGTGCCCTTTAAAATAATAAGCCATTTAAGTATAGATATTTAGTGTCAATTTTTATTAGGTTCCTTGCACTCCAAGATAAAATGCCTTTTTAAATTAATAAGAAATAAGGAAATAAATCTGTTCGTTTTCCATTATAGGTAAATTACTATGGAGTTATTTGATGAAAGTTTCTTGCTATTAAAAAAAAAAAGAGAGAGAGAGAGAGAGAAAGTATCTTCCATAATTTTCTCTTTACTTCTTTTTATGTTGAAGAAAACAATCTTTCCATAAATTAATATACATGGAAAAAAAGGTCCATACTAACCATTAATTAATAAATTATCTAATTTTCCTGTTTTGAAAGCTAGTTTTTCTTTTTTTCTTCTGATAAATTTGTAATTTTTAAAACACATTTTCACATTTTAATGGTTAATTCATTTCCTCTTGGGTTATATGCATAATGACAGTTATACAATAATTTATTTTAAGAATTTTGCTGTACTTGGCTCACCATGAGTATTTCACAAAATCATGACCGTCCAGATCACATCTTATATTAGTACCCCTACAGTTACCCCACTGGTGTTTCCACTAGCAGTAATTTACCAGAGACAACAAGAAACAGAGAGAGGATGTCTTAGTGATGCATATAAATTGGCCTGAGATTTTCTTTTATTTTATGTCTGTTACAGATTTCAGTTCCTAACACTATGTTATGACAGACAACTTGCTTTATCTGCTCTGAAGCCCTGAGGTAATTTACCACACTTTTGGCTGAAGACAGAGAGAGACAAGTGCAGGTGACCTGAGAAGATTCAGGGGCGTGCGTCAGTCACAAACACTATGGAAACACAAGCCTTACTTACGTCGTTCAAAAGCATACACTGTTTACATAGGTTTTATCACTCTATATATGTACACACACATATATGTTATATGGATAAAAATAGCTTTTGTTGGTTTTGTTGTTTGTTTTTGTTTTGTTTTGTTTGTTTGTTTTAATAAAGTATTCCTCAAGGAGGAATTTAGCACTTAACTCTCATGAGATCAATACTAAAATGATGCATCTTATGCAAAAGAATTTGTAGTGTAAGTGGAAGGACAAACCTGCCCTTATTCATCTGCAAAACTGAGTAAGGCAGGCTTAGAAACTTTTCTTGTCCTATCCAGCCAATATAAAGTTACTTTTGATAGACCATTGGTAGAAAACAGCAGACACTCAAACCCTCACAGCCTGCTAGACCAGGACCCTGGAAGTGGAGAGGACAAGCAGCCGCAGGCTGTGACAGCCCTGACCCTGCACATTGCTTCTGTGCCATTTGGGAAGGCAACGCACAGCACCTCACAACAATATCCCGTGATGATCTTTCAAGTACAGCCACATACTTCAACTGCTATGAGTATTTATGGATCTCACCTGCATATACATACATTATATATTGTCCAAAGCTGATTTCTTTTCCAAGAGGAGAAAGCTATTTCCTACAGACCTCACAGGAACAACAACTTCAGCAAATGCTCAGTTTATCATAGTAGCTCTCGTGGTCAAAACACCTCCTCCGGACTGGAGCGAAGGGTAACAAGGAAAACAGTGAAACTGCTACTGAATGTTATTCCTGTTTCCACATGTAAGCAAGTCTGGCTTTAAGAATTAACATAACAGACAGCCAAGGTTAATTATGTTGGCATCCATAATTACCTTACCCTTATACCCAGCCTAACTGGGGGATATTTGAGATGCACAGGTCTTTGAATTGCCAGATCTGCTTTAATTCAGAAATATCCATGCACAAGCTGAGTTCAGGAAAACAACGTGCAAGAACTGTTCTGAGCCTGTGGTCCAGAGTTCAGACTGGCTTCATGGCTCTCCAGATCAGACCCACAACACAGGCTTAAAGGAATGCAAATGCCATATTCCAGCTAATCTCAGTACATGTGGGAAACCCTAAATATATGCTTAAATTTGATTTTGGAACATGTGCTCGTTATTTTGCATGCACTTTTGTGCTTTTCTGGGTAGGAATGGGCAAATGTTTACTTCAATACTCCGGTGAACACCAGATGAAATCATGAGATTTCATGTATATATATTTCAGTTTGGAGATGCAATGATAGTCTAGCAGTCATTACAGCAATTTCTCAAAATACCAAGAAAAAAAAAGGGGGGGGGGAATCAACTGATCAACTGTCATGTTT